ATTAAAATGATTTATTTTAACAAAAAATTAAGCCATAATAAAATTATATTTATTATTTAGATAATATAAATATTTAATAGTAATTAATGATAACATAATATAATTATAATCACCTGTTTTTTTTTTCTTAATTCCATTCTACTTCTACGACTAGATGAAGATGTTGATGCTACATTACTGTGGGTATAATCTTCTGGTAAATTTAGGGTAGGCATCGCATCAGGCTTTAATTTACGAAATTTAGGAGTGTATGCTAAAATTATTAAAACAATTTGATAAAAAAATTGTCATTATGAGTTAATTTAATTAAAAATATAATTACCTAAGAGTTCGGCTTTAAGATCTCGAACATATGCATCATCACAAAAATGTTCAGAACACATATATGATAAACAAGGATTCATACTGTCTCCTCTTCTACACTTTAGAGTCCACTTGTTTTGCAGCTCTGGGTCTTTTGGAAACCTAAAAATTAGAGTAAAATCTATATTTTTGTTTAAGAGTATACTAACTGAGCAAATAATTTTTGAGGTATTGCCATACCTATTGGTCATTTCATTTGAATATTTAAAAATATTGCAACTTGTAACTTAAACTGTAGGTACAAAGGATACATTCCCAAACAAAATAATCTTCTGGATTGTTCCATTGAACATTATTATTGTGTTACAGTATTTTTACCGTATGTCGATTACTATTTAATGCAATTAACTGAGCGATTTATTAATCATAAAGCTATATTTGAAGGTAAATATATTATATGTATTATATTTAATATTTATACACATTTTTTTAGAATTTGCAACTTTATACCTATTACATATAATTTATTTTATAGGTTTTAATTGCATTTTCTAATCAGAATCACTTATGGTAGAAATGGAAGATATTGTTGCTTTTCAAAAGCTTGTTGAGTTTTATTCATCTACAATTGACCAACACTCTAGCATTGCTGAATTAAAGATGTGGAGAGTAAAGTTAGTGAATGAAAAAATTGTATTCACCTCTGGGTTACATTCTTTAGATGTTTGTGATAAAGAGTTTTATCCAAATATTCATGAACTCTTGAAAATTTTTTGTACATTGCCTGTATCAACTGCTACACCTGAACGATGCTTTTCAAGTTTGAAGAGGATTAAGTCTTACCTAAGAAATAGTATGACAGAAGTAAATATTTTATCAATTTTCTTATTTAATACTGAAATATAATTATAAATTAGTAATTATTATATACTTTGTTTATAAGAACCGACTTAATGGGTTGGCTTTATTGGCATGTCACCGGTCAATACAAATAATGCCTGATGACGTTATCGATGAACTGAGCATCCAAAAACACAGAAAACTGGATTTAGTATTGTAACTACATATTATATGTATATATATTTTATTATTATTATTATTTTTTTTTTTATCGTATTAAACACGGGATTGGTGCTAGTATGAACTTATAATAAATGCTATTAGGTACTATATTATTTGTGTTAATTCTTATTTTGCCTTGATCCACACTAACCTCAATAGGTAACAAGTTAGGGGATTTTAAAAATGTATATTATGTAAGGATTTATAAGTGTTAGGATGTATTATTATATATTTCATCCCCCCCCTAGCAAAATTCCTAAATACGCCACTGTCGTTGAAATCTCCCATAGTTAAAAAGTAATCGTTCAATTTATACGTGATTATATGGATACATTTGTTCTTTAGTCGTAGGTTATATTATTTATTTTTAAATTTATTTCTGGTGTGTTGCTTGTTTTATGATAGACCAAATTTTTTTTTGATTAGAACTATTATTTTTTATTTTTTCTCCGAAATAAGAGTATTTTGCTTTAGCGATTATTTCAGTTAATTTATTTCTAAATTGCTTGTATTTATTCTTTAGATTAATATTAAATGGTTCTTGTTTACTTAGTTTATGTAATTTATCTCTTTTTTTAATTGCGTTAATTATACCTGCTTGAATCCATGGATTGTTTCTTTTTATTGATTTGTTTGTTCTTTTAGTAGTAGACTGTTTTATTGAATTTTGTAGGGAAGCCGTTAATAAATTAATATTTAAATTATAACTGTTACTATCTGTTATATTATGGTTCCAGTTTATATCTTTAATTAATTTATTCAATTTATTATAGTTAACAGTGCTATAATAATTTGATTCTTTATTTATGTTGTTACTGTGTATGTGTGAATTAGTTTCTATAATTTGTGTAATTACTGGATAATAGTCAGTTTTAAGTGAATCGATAAGCGTTACCTGTATAGTGATAAGCGAATTATTAATAATATTTGAGAAGACGTGGTCTAGGCAGGTGTTTGAATCGGGACGTGAAATGATATTTATGTAAGATGTAAAGTTTAATGTGTTTAATATGTCTATATAATTTGTTGTGTTTTGTGTGATATCTAATAAATTAATGTTTAAGTCCAATATAATAATAATTTTAGTATTTTTGTGTTCATTGGTTATATCGGTGATTACAATATTAAATTGTGCCAAGAATGTGTTAATATCTCCATTCGGAGATCTGTAAAGTGATAGTATACCGTATTCATGACCATTAAAATTTATTGTTGTAAATAGGCAATTAGTGTCTTGAATTATTAACTCAGTCATATTAAGAATAATATCATTTTTAATAAAAATCACTAATCCATCAGATCTACGTAAGTTATTTTTTGTATATTCTATGTTGAAATCTTTACAAAATGAAAAATATTTAGGGTTGAAGTTGTTGGGTACAGCACTGGAATGATCGAAACTATTCCCCTCCCATATAAGACTGGGGAGTATTATATTTTTTTCACTTTTTATATTTTAGAGTATTCCTATTGTATATGTTATGATGGAACGCAAGACTCCCCAGTCTTATGATGCCGTTTTACACTTTGTAAAAGTAAATTTATTGCCCGAGTTTAGGCTTTGTATAATTTTAACCGACTTCGAGATTGCATTAAGGGAAATGTTGGTTAGGCATTTCCCATCAGCCACAGCTCATGGATGCTGGTTCCAAGTATGTAATGATACTCATTTTATTTATACTCTTATTCTAATTCTATGTAAATTACAATTAAAAGTAATTTTAAATTAAAATTTTAGGCTGTATGGCGAAAAATGAGAAAATTGGGTTATTTAAATTTAATAAATACTAATGGATTTGCATCAAAAACCATAAAAATGATTATGGTTCTTCCATTGTTACCAGCTGAAAAAATTGAAGAAGGCTCTGTTGTGATTAAACGTTATGCAGCTAGACATAATATTAATTTAGAAAAAATGTCTTAACATGTCCATTGAGGCATTAAATCTATAGCAGAAATAATTAATGACGAGGATCATGTCATATTATTTACCAATAACCTGCATATTAACAAAACTAACTGTCTAAATAAATTATTAAATAAATCATTGTTTTAAAAGTTATAACTAATCTAACTCATTTTGCAATAATCTAAATATCTCAAAAATTATAATAAATTAGGTATTCAAATGTTTCTGAGCTTCTGCATCAACTTAATATTTATATTGTAATGCAAAAGATAAAAATTTGAAAAAATATATTTTAAATAGTATTATTATGACAAATGTTTATGAATACTTGAATCTAAATTATTCTTAAAATATCTAATCTAGTTGTATATTCATAAATTTTATTTTATTTTTTAGATAATGAGGAAGATTTCATAACACCAGAAGATACCGATCCGGATATGATGTACATGATGGAAATTGAAGCAAGAAATAGGCAGTTAGAATTGGAAAATATTCCATTTTTTCAAGTGCCAAATATAATTCCTTCATTAAACAACCAAGAAACTAAGTGTATAATGTGCACGGACGCTGAAAGGACACATGCCTTAATTCCTTGTGGTCATTGAATCTTATGTGGTGATTGTTTAAACCTCATAGATCCTAAACGTTGTCCAGTATGTAGCGAATATTTTACCAACTCTCTTAGGATTTGGTAAAAAATAAAAATAATTTGTTATTATTGTGTAGAGTTTACTATTAATTATGAAATAAAACGATATATTATAGTATAAATATTTGTCATATTTTCTATAATAACACAATTAATGACTGACCATATATATTCATTCATTTCCAACGGTAGTCTAACCTGAGTACCTGACACATCTATTTTTTATACTCATTCAGTGTCAACACAAACGAAAAAAATTTTTAGAAAAATATTATTATTTTTATTTACTAAAGGTAAAATATTAAAAAAATAATAAATAACGTTTAAAGTATATTTTTTATTTTTCACACAACGAAAGGGCCTAGGGCCACCTACTCTGGACGCCGCATGTGGCGCTCGTAGCAATTTTATGTGGCCCGCTAATAAAACTTATGATTTATAAAATAATAGACATTATGTGGTAGATTAAAATGTTATTTATTTGTATCTACCTTGTTAAATAAATATGACTTACAGTTATACATTTAAATAAACTAAATTTGACACGAGTATAAATATCAGGGACTGGAACATTTTGAATATATCGGTATCGGTTCCGGTACCGGTTCTCCAAAAAATTAAATAACGGTTCCGGTTCGGTTCTGGTTCTTTTATGAAAAAAAATAAAGGTACCGGTTCCAGATAATTTCGGTTCCGGTTCCAGATAATTTCGGGAACGGTTCCAGCTAATTTTTAGTAGGAACATTAAATAAATATTATTATTATTATTAATTTGTATTTATAGATAATAAGTACCTATGAATGTAATTTGAAAGTAATATTGACCTAAGTGATAAGTGGACATCTGAGAACTCTAAAAAATGTTATGCATGTTAGTAGTATGTGTTTGGGGATTTTGGCTCCATTTTTACAGGGAGATGAAAAAAAATCAAGGGAACAAATTCCCCTTACAGTGCATCCAATCTCCCTGTAATTTCAAAACAAAATTTAAATGTTTAACCAGTTTGTTAATCTTTTTTCATAGAATTTCCCAAATAAATAAAAAATCATTTTTTTTTCTTTCAATTTTGTTTATTTTTTAATCAATTAATAGTATTTTACATCAAATATTAAATGTTTACAATTTTAAATTATTATTTACACTAGTTTTCTTACTTCTCTAGTAAAAGGTACATATTCAACAATTCGATCATGAATTAATAAACAATAAGCAGATACACCTGAAAGCGATTCTGATGATTCAATTTCTAATTGAACATCTACTGCTGAGGCTGTGGCTGAATCGTTCTGTTTTGAAGTGTCAACTACAATAATTGGAGCGTTTGTTAAAAAAGTAGAAGGGCTTAATATAGGATTACGTTTACTTTTTTCATAGTAAGATTCTTGAAACGATGTATACATATCATATAATAAGGTGAAATTATTTTTCGAAAAATCTAAATTCAAATTATCATATGGATATGCGACTGAGTTCAGAAAAACTTTAACGTTTGTCAGATTACAATGATCAAATATACTACAATCTTTTGCAAAAGAATTTTTACGTCCTTTTTGTAATCCAATTATAATAAATCGTGGTTTTTCTAATTTTGAAGCAGTTTTTAAATTCCATACAATTTTTTTTGCGATTCCGAGTTCAGGGTATTCAAAAGTTTCAAATGATCTAAAAGGAATAAACAAACTTTTTTCTCTTTCTACAAGTTTCAATAATTTTAACCGTTCTCCATCGTCAACAGTGATATGTGGGACCTTCCATACTATTTTGTTTAAAGTAACTTTGGCTGTAGATGCAACTATACCACTTTTAAAGTTTAACGCATTTAAATCAGTATGACTTCGAGTTAATATTAATTCCAATCTTGAATTAACCAATATTTTTTTAAAGTCTTCAAACAAACCTAACCAATATTTCAATGGAATACAAGCACTAAATTCACCTTTTTCATTTGATGATTGTGTTCCGTTTTTAAAATTCCAGCCTGCATTTTCATAACAATTATAGTTGTCTGGTGTACCGGATAAGTAACCTTTCAACGAGCTCGTGATTCCAAGAACACGTGTGCTATCTACTTCTATCCCGTTGATTTCCAATCGTATTTGTTCGAAGAGATAAGAGTAACCGTTATTAGATAGTTTCACTTTGTCAGCTTCCGAAATCATTCCTTCTAAATAAATAAAGCTTTCGTATAGATACGGATAAACATCTGTTTGCTGGATTGAAATACGTATTTCATCGTTATTATTAAATGATGTAGTATAAGGTGTATATGAATGATATTCAATTTTTGTTATTTTGGAATCCGTTTCGTACTGTGAACTTATATCTAAAATATCACTCTCAGGCATTTTGCTTTAATCGATAACCCAGGGCTTGTAAAATTCTTTTATTTTTCACCGTCAATATTTTTACTTTATTCGATGTTGCCGGTATCACTTTAGTCTTATGACTAGTTGATCTGATCTGAATATGGGGGTTTATATTGAATTTTAATCCCATCTCAAGACATGTAACGTTTAATATGTAACACGATTGTCAATGTCTCACCAAAATTATCAATCAGATTATGATCTTGATCAACTAGCTGAACGGTTATGGAGTCGATATTTGTTTTATTCAATTTGTAATATATTAAATTTGGTGGCGACTGAATTACTTTAGATCCTGACCTTTCACTCGGGAAAAACTCGTAAATCGAATGACTTTGAAGATGGTTGTTGAATGATCCTTGAGCTATGTTACACATTACTTTTATAGAATTAATTGTGTTTAAATTTACTGCTTTTTCCGATCGAAGAATTTCAAACTCTGGTTTATATTCTCGTTTTTCAAAACCTAATACAGGCGCCATACTATGTAAAATCTCAAAGTGTAGTATTCCATTACATTTTATGTACGATCTAAAATCGATAGGATTAACCGAAATGTCAAATGTTAACTCTTTGTTGAATTTTCTATTATATACATCTATTTGTTCCTTAACTTGACGCTTAATATCTTCAATTTCATAACATCCCTCTTCCAGTTTAATAAAACACATCATGTGGTCATTATTATTATTATCGTCAACTACTTGTATAGCAAATTTATTATTATTTTCGTTAATATTTGGGAACGAATTAAATGTCTGCAAACATAACAAAGCTATTTCCGAGTTTTCGTTAAGGTTTATAGACGGAAAATAATTTGTAGATAATATGGTAGTATTCCCGGTCAAACTTAAAGTAACTGATTCATACATTACAAAATTTGAGATTCAAATTTAATAATGAGATCCGTGACGTTTAATATGAAGAATAACTGTTAATGTCTCGTTTAAGTTATCAATCGGATTATTGTTTTGATCAACTAGCTGAATAGTTATTGAATTAATATCTGTTTTGTTTAATCTAAAATATAAAAGGTTTAGCGGAGTTTGAATAATCTTTGATCCTGTTCTCCCACTTGGGAAAAACTCGTAAATAGAATGGCTTTGAAATTGGTTGCTGAATGATCCATGTGCTATATTACACAATACTTTTATAGAGTTAATTGTGTTTAAATTCACACGTTTTTTTGATCGATGAGCTTCATGCATTGGTTTATAGGCTTGTTCTTCAAACCCAAAGACATATGCTATACTGTTTGGAATATTTAACTTTAGTATCCCATTACATTTAATGTACGTTCTAAAATCGATGTGATCAATAGTTACATTCAAGAATAACTGTGTTTTATATTCGTTATTGAAGTGAAATAACTCTTTTGAAATTATATTGTTAATATCTTCTATTTCATAACATCCTTCTTCCAAAATAAATTCAAACGTTTTATATTTATGTTTATTATTTGATGAATGAATTGGAACTATCTCCAGTCGGTTATTAGTCGAATTTATATTTGGAAATGAATTACGTGTTAGTAAAAATAATAAAGATATTTCCAAATCATCGTAAACGATTAAAGACGGAAAATAATTTGTAGATAATGTCACAGATTCATACATTGTAAAAATTTAAGGCATAAATGACCGCAATTAAATGTATTGAAATCTTGATAATTAGAATAGTTATATACTATTTTAAACTCGTGAAAATAATGTTGTAATTCAATTGGCGGGGGTAAATCACCAAAGCTGTCAAAATATACAACTTTATCCTTATTTTTATGAAACGCTACCCAATGACTTCCTCCACCTGAAGATACATCAAAGTTTAAAATACCACATTCAATTGCAAACGGATTTTTAGGTAAGTTATCACGTGAAAAGACACCACGGAAATGATTGATTTTTAACTTTCTAACACAATTTATAATATCTTGAGACGAAAGTGGTCTGCCAGGTAGCGAATTCACTAGTTTCTTTTTCTTCGTGCATTATTGACTAAATTTAAACCACTATCTTTTTTACTTTTCGAATTTTGAATCGCATTATACACATTAGCACCTCCAGATATCAAACTACCAAGTGCCGACAATCCTGCAAATATAGGCATTAAAGGAATTGTACCTCCTAACTGTCCCGGTGTAAAGATCATCCTTTTACCAACATTTTTTTTTTTTATCATTCTTTTTTTCTTTGTTGCTAGTATACCATTTATTTTTATTTTTGTTACTCGTTTCCGCTTACCTTTACAGCGCATACGTATTTTTCTTTAACTTTCATTACGTTAATTACTATGTTACTATTTTTTTTTTTACACTTTATCAGCTTTATGATTATCGTTTAAATTGATGACTATTTATAAGAAAGTTTACAAGTCATTAACCAGTATTGACCGATTTACACTAGTGAGTTGAACGCGTTATATAGAACTGATTACAAAGTACAAATTCTAGAGTATTTATATGAAAAAATGGATTTTGCTGAACAGAAAGATAAATTAGATATTATAAATGTAGATGTTCAGTTAGTAAAAAAACCATCAAAACATGGATCATTATTACCTGATGCTATACGAGCTATACTAGTTGGTCCTAGTGCATCAGGAAAAACCAATATAATGTACAATCTGATCACACATGAAAACGGTTTAAGATTTGAAAATATTTATTTATACTCTAAAACCTCAAATCAGGAAAAATATGTTTTATTAAAAAAAATAATAGATGATATACAAGGTGCTAATTTTTTCATATTTACAAGTGGTGATAAAGTTATAAAACCAAACTTAACTAAGCCAAATTCTATTATTATTTTTGATGACGTGATATGTGACCCGCAATCTGTGATTAGAGAATACTTTAGTATTTGTAGACATTCGGGTGCTAGTTCTGTATTTTATTTAGCACAAACATATTCTAAAATACCAAAACAGTTAGTAAGAGATAACTCAAACTTTTTAATAATACTGAAACAAGATGATACAAATTTAAGACATTTATTCAATGATCATTCGTCGGCAGATATGGATTTCTCAGAATTTCGAAAAATGTGTCATTTATGTTGGAATAACAGCGATTATGGGTTTATGGTTATCGATAAAACTCGGGAAATGAATGATGGAAGATATAGATGTGGTTTTCATACGTTTATTAAAATTAAATAAATATAAGTATACGTATATATATATATATAACGTGGCACTGTTATTATCTACATAGCACTATCAGTAGTCATCCAATGCACTTATATTGTGTTTATTATTTACAATGAACAAAGAAAAAGTTTTGTTAGAAAATTTGATTACATCGAAAAAAAATATTAAACGTAAAATAATGGAATTGAAACGTAATGATATAGATTCTGACAAGTATTTCCGTAAAGCATTTAAACCATTAATTAATCCACTGAGAACACAAGCAGAAAAAATACGTCACATAACTCAGTCGACTGAGCTAAAAAATACAGAAACCTTATGCAATAGTGACGAAGATGTTGACGATGAATTAAATTCATCATTTGAAAATTTTTTTAATGATGATTATATTCCAAAAAGTTATGATAAATCGTATGGTCTGCACTATGATAAATCCAGTGATTCATATAAAATAGGAAAACACACCGTAACTTTTAATCATGGCAACTTGCAGTTCCTTAATAGTTATTATAAATGGACAGAAGGATTATGGTCTTTATTATGTGAGAAGAAACCAAAAAATACAACAATAGAAGATATGGAAAATTATTACAACATTTTGAAAACTTCAGGAGTCCATTTGAAAGGAGATGGGAAACCTAAGACCTCAAAATTTCATAAATGGTCGACCGTTTTAAAACCTCTTTCTGATCGAATGAAATATGAGGAAAGACAGTTTAACGAACAAATAGCTAAAATTAATAACTCTAAAACTCGTATTAACTTATTACCACGCATGAATCATTTGTCTAAACCAAACCCTAAACGAAGTAATATTCATGATAATACAACCGTGACAAATGAATCACTTGATTTGACCAAATTTGATAACTTCCTTAAACAAAACTATAAGTGTTATAACTGAATCTATACCAGATAAAGTTAAATCCAATCTAACCGACCTTAGTAATTTAAAATTTAGTAACGATCCTGCACATTGGGAAATTAAAGCTGATCTGATTTCTTATTTTTCTGAAAATATCCCTATTCAAAATGTGGATGCAGATTTAACTGTATCTGCTAGACAATTTGGTAAAAAAATGAGATATTTCAGAAAGGAATATTTTTCACGAGCATTAGGAAATGGTGAGTGTGTAAATCGAGACTGGCTGATATATTCGCTATCCACTGGATCAGTGTATTGCCATGTGAGTAAATTTTTCGTCATTTGCAAAGTAGTGATAAATTAACACTTGTGCATCAATTCGAAAGTGGTTTTGATGATTGAAAAAATATTAATGTTAGAATGGAAACTGACGAACAATCTAAAGACCATATAAACTCGAAAAAAAGAATGGTAGACCTTCAAAAATGTAAAAAAAATAGATGTGGAATTAATAAATCAGTATAATAAAGAAAAAATGAATTGGATTCAAGTTTTAAGACGAGTTATAGCAGTAAATAAGTTCTTATCGTCTAGAGGATTAGCTTTTAGAGGAGATTCGGAAGTATTTAGCTGTCCAGTGTCCAAAAATGGTAACTATTTATGTTGCCTTGAACTTCTTTCTAATTTTGATCCTTTTCTTGAAGAGCATATAAAAAAGTTCGGAAATCCTGGCAAAGGAAATGTATCAAATATGTCATCTACGATATGCAACGAATTTATAGCAGGGACTAGAACCTTTATGATTTAATGGGTTTCGGTTTCGGTTTCGGTTCTAAAAAATCCAAAATATCGGTTTCGGTTCTGGTTTCGGTTTTCAAAATTATCAAATTTCGGTTTCGGTTTCGGTTCTAAAAAATCCAAAATATCGGTTTCGGTTCTGGTTTCGGTTTTCAAAATTATCAAATTTCGGTTTCGGTTTCGGTTAATACCGGTTTTA